TTAAGCAGCTGTTTTAGCAAGTCTCACATTTCTGATTAACTTAGGGAATAATAAAAATAAAATAAAAACCATCATTCCAGCCCCTTGAGCCACCTCCCTAATAAAAAACCCATGAATGTTTGGATCTTATATGTCCTGAAGGTTAAAACCATAAACTCTGTTAGACCCAAGAGGAAAAACAAATTCCTGAGTCAAGGATCCACTGAGAATGTGGAGAGTATTAAAATTTGTACCCTCACGTGATGGCAATTGTTGGGATGGCACACAGGGAAACAAACAAGCTCTTTGGCTCAGTAAATCATGTAAGGCTTAAAAGATCAAAATCACCACCTAGAAATGCACCTGGAAATAGTGCCGTCTATTGAGTACTGGTGTAACGTGCTCCATGGGAGATGCATTGGTAAATGAATCTCTAAGCATCCAATGAGCTCTCACTGGTGCAGATGTCTGCCTTTGTGCAATTTCTCATTGTGGGATCAGTGCCTAACTGGGCAGCTGCATTCTGCAGTAGCTGAAGTTTTCAAATGGCCTTTAGGGTCAGAGTACATGGCATTATTCTAATGCGGCAGGGACTAAGGTATTTACTGACTCAGTTGGATCTTTTAAGGGAAGAAAATTCTTAGTAAAAAAAATGGAAATGGAATGACATAAGAATGAAAGTTAGGCATATCAATAAACAACTCCTAATAATATAGAACAAACACTCTTGGATACCTGAAGTTTCAGTTGCTGTCAGTTGCTATCATTCAGATTATTTTCTCTGAAATGCATATATTTGGAAACATACTGTTCACATTTTCTTTCTAATACACTGGAAGTCCCTCATTTGTAAAATATCTGATTAAAAGCGCATTTAAAAAAGCTGAACTAGAAACGTTTTTAAAATTCTATTTAGAAATCTAGCAATTGGTGAATGTTTGGCTGTGCAACATATAATAAATGTAAGAGAACCTTTGTGAGGGATGGTTCAGAGGACCGACAATTAGATTTCACTACATTGTCCTATAGAAAAAAAGAAAAGAAAAGCTTACCTCTGCCCAAGCCCATTTCAAATATATATCTTTTTATTTTCACATTAACAGTATATCCTTCCAGGCTGAAAATAATCCTTTAAAACACATTTTAAGATACGGTTTCTCAGTATCTGTGTTGTTATGTGGCTGGTTTCTACTGGCTTCAAAAAGTACCTGCAACATTTGTAAATATGTTGTACACTCTCATGTCTGTACGTGTCTATGTCTATGACAATCTTTGTGCCTAATAATGAATTAGCATATGCAAAACTGTGAGTAATTTTTCCTATAACTACCTGGCTTGCTTGCATGCATAAAATACACATGCAGAATTTGAGAAGAGTTTGGAAATTTACTTGTGTATCTCTGTTTTTTGCCTTGAATGTGACAAACCATTTAATGCCTACACAACATGATTTTGTTAGTATTCTGCCTCTGCCTGCTTTCTGCAGTCACATTTTACTCCTTCTCTGTTGGCAGCTACTTGCTTTCTTGGGCCCCAATCCAGGAAACACTTCTGCATAAGCTTAATTTTATTACTGTAATCAGTTCCATCATTTGGCTACTCATGGTAGTAAAGTTAAGTACATCCATAATTGTCTGAAGGACTGGGACCTTAGTTGTTTAAATGCTTGATTAACTTATTTGCAAGAAAGTATATTGAGACCAGGTCCTGTAACAAGGCCCCATGGTATTTCTTGTCAGACTGGGGCTATGGTGATGAACCCAATGTCACACATGAAATCTTTACTGGAATTAGAATAGGCAATATTATGCAGTGGTAAAAGCGTGAATTGTGAACAAGTCCGTTTCCACTGACTCCAGGGAAGTGCACCTGTTTGCATCCATCCTGAATTTGCCCCTGTGGCACATAAGCAGCATTGCCAGTTAATAAAGGGGCAACTTATCTCCTTTTTTGTGGTTCAGGTACTAGAGGCACCCCTCCATTGCTTTTGTGAGCTAAGCAGCATCCAATTTCAAAAACTCGTGTTTTCCTCCTTGCAGAAGGGATGGGCAGTGGGGGTGCAGGATTGGCCAGCAAGGGAACAGCCTCAACCTGTATTTATTTGCTTATCTCCTTCCAAGAGACCCCACGGTGTCTGGCAATCTGGTTGAGAACCATTGGACTAAATGATTCAGAGGCATCCAGCCTCTAAGGTACCCCCTGGCCCGCCGTCTGCCTGACTTCAGATTAACATAGCTCACTACTTCTCTGGGCCTAGAAATGGAACAATGTTGTCTGCAGCCTAATGCCATGTGCCTCTCAAGCGAAGGAGCTAGTGGGACAATACCCTTGTTCACTCCAGGGACATATAATATGAAGGTGGTTTTCTTTTTGCTGGCCCAAAAACAAGGTGCTGGTCCTAGCATGGTAGGCAGCAGCCAAGGAGCAGTAACAGCAGCTGTGGACTACGACACTACAGCTACCACGGGCATCACGGTGCCAGAGCGAGGCACAGACTGCAGCACGGCACTGCCAGCAAGCGGCCCAAATGGCAGCGTGGTAACAAAAACAACAGCTGTTGGATCCTTAGATGCTCCACTTAGCAGTCCTGATGCAGGCAACCATGCTGAGCACCATCGGCGGTGTCACGGCCCGGGCTCTCCTCCCAGCTCCAAAACCTGCCCGAGAAGAGGCGCAAAGGTGCTCCAGGGGATAGGAGGCCTCCTGTGAACACCTGGTTGTGGACCTCCGGCGCTGCACAGGGCTGTGCCAGGGCCTGGCCAGCCATACTGACCTGGCAGGGGAAGTACCATGACCTCGATGGGGGAAATACCCTGACCAAGGTAATGCAATTAAAACGGCATTGTGTAGTGCAGGGTGCACCTTTGTCTGCTTGAGGACAGGAGTCCCTATGAGAGCCTCATAGCTAGCTTCCCACAGGCCAGCTTCCAGCCGGAGGAGCTCGGCTACGCACCAACTTTACAGAAATGGGAGACTTCTGCAGCCGTACGGCAACCTGAGGGCAACCGAAACTCGGGGGCACCCGAATCGCAACCCGCCAGGCTTGGGCCTGCACGCTGGATGCGCACCAAAGGATTTGGAAGCAGCTGAAGCCCCAGGCGGGGGTGGTGGACACTTGCTGGTAACAGATAGCTCCTGAGTCAAACTGATTCGGACCTGAGCTGTTTGATTTGACCTGGGACAGGAAAAATTGTCCTTTTTAAAAAAAAATGAAAAAGGGTAGGCAGCAGCAGTGCAGGCTGAGCCCCGCAGCCCCCAGCCAAACTAAGGCGGAGCTACGGCGCCACGACCCCGCCCCACGGCCTGGCCGTAGGCCCACCCCCCTGGTGGGGTTTTTGGCGCGGTGCACGCTGGGAGCTGTAGTCGGCCACGGGGGAAACGTAGCGTGCAGGCGCAGCTGCCCCGCCCCTCGGGCGCGCGTTGCATGCTGGGTAGCGTAGTGCGGTGCAGTCTTCCCTTCCGATCTGGGGAACCTCGTGGAGGGCCATACCCCGCCCCACGGCCTGGCCGTAGGCCCACCCCCCTGGTGGGGTTTTTGGCGCGGTGCACGCTGGGAGCTGTAGTCGGCCACGGGGGAAACGTAGCGTGCAGGCGCAGCTGCCCCGCCCCTCGGGCGCGCGTTGCATGCTGGGTAGCGTAGTGCGGTGCAGTCTTCCCTTCCGATCTGGGGAACCTCGTGGAGGGCCATTATCCAATCAGCGTTGCCAGCAGGGGTCACGTGTTCTCTCCCCAGCACCACCACGAGGAGGCGGGGCCAAGCGAGCCGGTGGACGTTTGCCCCGCCCCGCCCCGCTCCGGTTGCTTGTGGCGGGGCGCGCCCTGGGCGGG